TTTTGAAATGAATATAATATAATTTATTATCAGTTCCTTGCACCGTACGGGTCATGTACTAATTTTAAATAAACATGTTAATTTTGCACAATTTAAATTTCATATAACATTTTCACAAAATTAATACAGGTAAATTGTATTAGATATTGATTCCATATTTTTAATTTATAAATATTGTTTAATGAGCATTTTTAATTTATAAATATTAGTGAATATTTCTTGCCCGTGTATCGCACAGGATTTGTACTAGTTATATATATAGGGGGAAATTGTACAACTATTTCATATAGCCGTCAATTCTTACCTTTATGGACATTTCTTAAAAACTAAATATATAATCCGTCAATTCTTTAAAATCTATACGCCATCATAAAACCGCAATTTATTACTTGGTACAATTATTGCATAATAAATGAAGATCATTATTAGGGGGGATATGTATATCAATTTTATTCACGTTATGAAATAAATGAAATATAAATATATTTTTCGTTATTTGAAACCACATAATAACTAGTGAACTGAATGTTCAAATTATATTAGCCTGAAAAAATTTAATACTGTAATAATTGAGTGATTAAATGTAATATAATTATTGATTGGAATTTCAATGCCAAATCTAATCATATTCACACGTCCATATTGTTATTCTTTGAAGCAACGTAAACAGTCAATGAGTTAATATCATTCCAATTGTCATAATAATAATAATAATAATAATAATAATAATAATAATAATGATAATAATTGCCTAATGTTTCACTTTATATTGACTAATAATCTTTTACTCATGCGTATACACGGGTGATATCAAATGATACAATAATACTAAGGAGCCAACAAGTCAATGGGATAGCTCCATGTGGGGCTGTCCCACTCTGGAGTCAAATAAAATTTGATAATGTTAACCATCAAATAAAATTTAAATTCAATCATATAAAAAAATAAAATATTTATACATATAGATCATAAACTTTTCGTTGTATACGATGTCAAATAAAATTTGATAATGCTAACCATCAAATAAAATTTAAATTCAATCATATAAAAAAATAAAATATTTATACATATAGATCATAAACTTTTCGTTGTATACGATATTGTACATATGTCTATTGATAATTGGTTGGTCCTCTGTGTTTGAACAATATTTTTATTTTTGTTTTCAATTGGTTATTTTTAAAATTATCATTATAATTGGTTATGATCAAAACTTTTACTCATTACTTATTACATATTAAACCAATACATTATAATGACAGATAACTTAATAAACATAACCCGCGATAAAATTATGAAGTTTTACATTTATAAAAGTTAGTTCTGTAAATATTACTACTATGTAGCATTTTTAGTCGAAAATTTTCTTTTTAGTTAATGTTTTTTTTTGAAATATATATGCCCATTATTTGTTGGATTAAAAAAATAAAAAAATGATTTATTTATAAATAGTTTATAAAATGACCAATTATTATTAAATTTTATATATAACTAAAATATTTATTTACTTAATAATAAAAGAGAAAAAAAAATATTTTATTTTTTATAATTTTTTTCTTTAATAATACACGAAGATATAAATATTTGACGAAACATTTTTTAAGAGTGTGATTGGATATGAATTTTATTTTATTTTGATTGATTTTTTGTTAATCATAGTTAATTCTAAAAAAACATGGTGTTGTAACAAATTGTGTTTAAATTATCGAGTACTGAATCGACTGATACGTTCTCCGGGTCGATCTCTCGAGGAAGGTTAGTCGGATTACTTTGCACGATTATTCTAGCACAAAAAGAAACTAATAAATCTTAAACACTCTAATCAAGATGGTTTAGTTATAATTATCAACTAAGAACTCCCAAACAATGTAAATTCAAATATCAACTCAAAGCAAGAATCAAGCAATGATAAAGAAGCTAAGGAGTCGGGGATATTTATTTTGGTTCGAAATGCAATCAACAAGCAAGTGATCATCCGGTTAAAGGATTCTAATAACCTATAAGTTTAGATATTTATCCTCAATAACTTTTCGTAACAAGAGAACAAACATGAACGGCAAATCAACGAGTCGTTTAACACATAGGCAATACAACTACGAACAAGCCTATTTTATATGAGCCTAGATGGATCAATTCCTCCCCTTTTGGTTTTAAGAGTTGATTAAATTAGACAAGACGGTATTTAAGCGACTAATCGGTTAGAGTGAACATCATTACACGAGAATGAATCAAATTCAATTGAAAATCAATTGGAGATTGAAGTGTCACCCTTCAACAATGTTCAACAATCACGCATAACAATTGAAAATCCCTATTTAAAATTAATTCGTATAAATTGAACAACCAACGAACACGATAATCACAAACGAAACCAAAACATTATCCTCTATCCCTAGAGAATCAAATTAACTACTCATATGGAATTGAACAAAAATCATCTCAGAAACCCAAACATTCGTATTCAAGGATTAGATGAAAAGAAAAACTTACGATTAATAGAGAGCCAAGAGCCGAATCCAATGAACAAGCTTAATCCGGAAAATTAAAGAAGAAATTGAAGATGAAAAGCAAGATTCATATCTATGTTCTAGGGTAAAAAATAGGAAAAACACGAGTTGGGAATGTTCTCCAAGTCTTGTGACGAATTTTATTTTGTAGGGCTCGAAAAACTGAGCCAAAACGAGAAAAAACAAAAAAACAAAAAAAAGTAAAATCTGCCCGCGCCCAGGCCCTAGCGGCGCTAGGACGCGGGCTAGCGACGCTAAGGCGGGTGGCCTGGGGGCGTCGGGCTAAGGGCGTGCGACCGTGATTCTCTATTGCCTGCTAGCAGGGGTAGCGGCGCTGGGGCGCGCGCTAGCGGCGCTAGGCGGCTGGTAGCGGCGCTAGCTGGCGCCTGGGAGCTGGTGGTCGGTTTGCACGATTTTGCTTCTCGGGCTCATTTGAGCTCGTCCGAACTTGGAATTGAGTTCCATTTTTTTTTTTATTTGTCACCAACGAATCCTTCTATTTAATTATGTTTGCCCAACCAATATTTTCCTAAAATCCTATCTCCCTAAGCTTCCGACCTGCACACCGAAAACGAGAAGAAAAACGGAGAAAACCGGAAAAAGAACGAAAAAACCCAGAATGAAGGAAAACACGCAATAAAATACAAAAACAACTAAAAACTAAAGGAACGACCTAAAACATGGAAAAAATAAAGGCAAAATAACAACGAAAAACGCAATAAAAATATGACAAACAGATGGTATAGTTAGTTGTTAGTGGGATTTGAGTTTATATTAAATAATATTTAAAATAAAATAAATAAAGTTAAGTTGATATAATATTATGAGAGAGATGATATGATGTGACGATTAGTTTAAATTATGTTGGTGGATGAATGGTAAAGTAAAATTGATCTGATTTGTAAGAATAATTTATGAGTATTATTTAATTACATTAATAGTATTGAGCATAATGAAGTTGAGTTAAAAAAAATTAATTTATTAAAAATGATTTTTTTTATCAAATTCACACGAGTCAGCTTTTGTCCCATGAGTCAGTTTTACTAAATCTGTAATTATTTGGACATTCAAGGGTAGAATGAACATTATACATGTAGTTCTTTTGCCAAAAAGGTCATTTTTATGTTGAGATAAAAATATATCACGCTCAAGATGTGAATATTGAATATAATTATCCTGACAGTCATGAGTACAGACGTGTGTCTACCTGGCACAAACATGATAAATTGGATTTATCTCAATCCCAAACACCGGATAAAATTAATTAAATAATATTATCTCATTCTATCCCAATAAGTAAAAGAAGCCTTCACTCTAATAACTTCCTTTTAGTAAAATTCTTATACCTTTTTCAAGCAATGTTGTTGAGTTGTTATCATGGGCACGTGCACCCACGTGACCAGTTCCTCTGACACAGTCGCACAGTACGAAACCAAAGCAAGATAAAAAGAATATTTTGACCATGCTGCACGCACATAAAGATAGAGTCAGACACCTCGCCCCCTCACCCACCCGAATAATATATGAAAAATCCTTACCAAAAAAATTATTCACTCAACTAATCTTTTATTTTTGTTCTGTATTACTATTTATCTCAATTACACGAGTTTTGCGTCCAATCTTCCAGACCATCGCTGGTAGAATATAAATTGAATATTACGTCATGTAACATATATTCAGAGTCTCAGACCATTAAGTTTAAAAACGTAGATTGGTGGTATTATTATTCTGAGAAAAGGTCTAGGTCCAAATCATTTTGAATGTGCGCTGCAAAAGCCATTTATAAGATCAATTATTTTATAAAATAATTAAATAAGTGTAGCGTGGAGTTTAAGATACAATCCTTATGCAAAGACAAATGATACTTTGTAGGTATGGTACATAATGGATTAATCCGAAAATCAACCGATGATCTAAAAATGAGTTCTTACCAGTGTTTTGTGACCCGGACCGGCCCGGCAGGTCGACTTGGGACCCGGTCGACTCGGAGTCGAAACCAGTCTGAGTGGAATATTTGGACCGGGCAACCAAAGATCCGGTCAAACCCGGTCAAAACTCGACCGACCCGGCCGACTGGGGCATTGACCCGGCCGGGTTAACCCGGTTGACCCGGTCAATATATATTTTTTATATCTTTTTTTTATTTTTTAAAAATAAAACTATGTATATATGTTTATATGATAAATATTTATCATGAAATACATATTATTAACACTTTAATATACAAATTTTATACACAAAACATTTAATTTTGTTACTTTTATGTATATTTATATAACAAAAATACTCTATATAATTTTAAAAATTTTAAAATTAATTATCCGGTTCAGCAATTGACCCGGTGACCCGACGGTTGAACCGGTGACCCGAGGACCTGCCCGAGTCGATCACCGAGCCGGGTTTAAAAACTATGGTTCTTACTGTAAAACTAGGAAACAAAAAAACCGGAAAAAAAATAAATAAATAAAAATAAAAAAAATCATATTGAGTTGAGCCAAACAAAAGAACACAGAAATCTTTCAGCGTTCAAAATGAGATCTCATAACTCTGATCTTAAGGATGACCAGCAATGCAAAAGAAATCTTCAAGTACGCTAACTACAGATGAACAAGAACACAAACATTGCATAACTTGATAAAAGAAATTGCATCTGATAAAAAGATGACAAAACCTCAAACAAAATACCAACACCATACTAACTGCAGACTTCAAATATAGACTGCAAAACAATAATAAAACAACAAAAGTTTAGAGGCGAAAAAAGACAAGTCACCATCGAAGCTTAAATACCTATACAAACACATTTAGAAACTGCAACCCAAAATATACTGCCAAAGGGTTAGTTCAGTTGATATCCTCATGTTCTTTAAAGCAGAAGGGGGAGGGATTATAATTTCTATGTCAGAAAGCACACCCAACCATTTCCCACCAGATTTTTTGCACGATTTTTCTTCCTCTCTCGCCACCAACCAAAGAGCCATTGGCATGCTTGTCACGATTATACAAATAGTCAAAGGTAAAAACTTAGGACATGAAAAGGATAAATGATCAAATTTAGGGGGGAACGATCGTCAATGTTCGAGTTCGGGATTTTTGTTATTGTGTGCTGCGCGTCAAACCACTTCTTGAAACACTCCTGCAAAAGATAAATTGTATTTTATTAGCAGAAAAAATCATGAACATATGTGAGGATCTTTGTGGTACTCGATATTTTCTTTCTGGTGCGTACTTAATTAAATTGGAATGCAGCATAAGTCATCATTGGGCTTACCATATTGTTTTATCATTCTAAATGCAAAAAATCAAACATTATTATTTGGCATCAATATAAATGAATGGAGGCCACTGAAAATTGTATGCACATTTCTAAGAATATTGGGATGCAGGATAACGTAAGAATCTACACCAAACACTAACACTGTAAGGCATTCAATGTGATTTGATCCCTAAAAGATGAGTCGTAAATTTGAGATTGTGTATTATCCATATTCATAAAAAAGGAACACCAGAAACGTCCAAGCAAAGTCTAGAGATTTCAAGTTTTCACATTTGATAAACTATCCAGTTTTAAAGGTACAAACAATCGAGCAGATTCAGGGTAAGTTTCTACGATGTCAAGCACAATTTCGGACCCATTTGAAATGCATTATTGGGTGGGTCTGACAATGATTGGATAAAAAAGTCAACATAAACAGGCAGCTTAGTGTCATAATAAATTGCAGGGGTTCAATGTCAAAGAAAATCAACAAGTCGGAACAACTTCACATGAAGCAGCAGTCATGAATCAATGTCTCATAACAAAATATGTACATTTTGTATTGCAGCAAAAAATCATAGAAATAGATAATGCGTAATAAAGCATCTCTAATCATAGTGTCCACTTGGGAGTGAATTTCTTCCAACCACATGTGTGAGTGTGTGTGATCCTACGGTTAAAACCCCCATGGGGGCACTGCCCACGGGGGTAGGATCAAACTTGCCCTACTTGGGAAAATGCCTAGACTTTTAGTGCCACATGGTTTTGAACCTTTTGTTGAAAAAATCCCCTCCAATGAATACCAAAAGAATATATATATATACATATATATATATATATATATATATATATATATATATATAAAGCTAAGTCCAGATGATGTGGCGTATAAAAGTGGATTTCGCCTCTACTTGGCCCATTTTGAGACATGGATCTAGACCCAATGTGCCCCCATAAAATTGATTAATTATAATAGTAACTCAATATATTTTGTTTACACATCATTTTAGACCCAAGTTTAAAAAAATGCAATGAAGTGAGTATGATCTATTTATTCTTTGGTTTCTCCACATCATCCAAAACTTTAAGTTTACAACTACTATGACTACAAAAAAACTAGACCTAAGGTATTGTGGATACTTAAGTGAAAGATGAAATGGGTGAAAACATCTTTACATAAAAAGAACAGTTGACTAAAGAAACTACAGCAGGAACCTAGTTGAATTGAACAGTTCAAATCATAAATGTCAAGCTAAAAGTGGTGTACCGTTTTCCTTCTTTTCTCAACGAGGGAAAAAGAAGGAAAAATGTGTGATAGAAGCAGTTACAGAGGTAGACCAAACCTAGTACAAGTAAATCGTACTAACAAACAATGGAATAACCACACTTGTTCAGACAAGTTTAAGATGTGAAGTATGCCAACTGAAAAGTGTGGTTACTTTAAGTGAAAGCTTCTGAACTAACAATTATATATACTCATATGAAAATCAGCAAATAAGCAATAATCAATAATGCATGTTGGATACTTCATCTCATTTACTGAAAATGTGAAAGAAACTTTGAGAAAAGTATATTTCAACTCATGCCACTACATTGATAGAAATTTGAAATTTATTATAACCTCTTGACTACCTAGCTAATAATTAATGCAAGTGGAGCAACGGATGCTGCATTATGGCATCATTTTCTTCTATTATATTAAGTTGGTATTAACTTGTGGGCATATTGAAGTGAACATCGACTAGTTCGCACATCGGACAGATTAGAAAACTCCAACCATGCTAAGAATTTGGTATTTACACTTGTGCAATCTCCATCAAATGAAAATAACTAAGTCCGCATAAGATTTGGGATTACCCAGAAAACCACTAAATCTGGAAACAGTTCATGAGATTCAAAGACCTTATATATGAGGCATTTTTGCTAGACAGTAACTTAAGTGCATGTATTTTATCCATAAAGTCAGCATATGCTTCTCCCACACATGGGAACACTTCTCTCCCAAACATATGGGTACACTTCAGAATAACATTTTTTAGTAATGTGTTTCAATCATGTAAATAAAAGCATTATTACATCTTCAGGGAAATCTTTGTAGGTATATTATGCTATCTGCAAAAAAACATGTCATCATAACTTGCACAATTAGTATCACCATGAACGGGCATACCTTGCAGGCAGCATATGTGGATTGACAGAACTCTTCGAATTCCCAAGTCGTTTTGCTCTATTTTCATGTTCTTTCTCCACGCGCATGGCAGCCACCTCCTTCTCCATAGCAGCCACCTCTCTTCTCATTTTTTTGGCTTCAACTTCCATCGCTTTAGTCAAAGTCTCTACCTTCTTTGCTAACATCTGATTGTAGATTTAAACAACTTTTAGCATAAAGACAAATGTAGGTCATGAGTTAATATGGAAAGAAATTAACCTCAATAGCGTCATCCTTGTCTTTAAGACTCTGATCCTTTTCAAGGCCAGCTTTCCTCAAAGAGACCACTTCCTTTTGCAACAGGTCATATAACAACCCTGGCACAGTATCCTCTTTATCTGGAACTTGTGTATCAATTGATTTATCCTCTGGAGTTGTTTTGCATTTACTACTTTGAGTCTCAGTTTCCTTAGTTCCATCACAAGACTGGCTTTGCTTGAAATTCAGTCCTAATCCATTTAAAAGAACTTTAGCCCTGTCCGAAGATCTTGAGCCACCATCAAAGGACTTTGATGTTCCTTTTGCATGTTTCAACACTGTACTGCTACCAGATGATCTGAGTTGAAATGATGGTGACCTCTTGGGAAGAAAGCCATTGGATGTCAATTTGGAAATATTTTCGGCTCCACCAAGAGACTGCCGGCGAGAAGCACCATTGCTTGAGCTCCTTCCATCTGGCATGCCTCGAGATGCTGTGTTAGGTGATCTCAAAGTCTCTTCAAGAACTCTGAGTCTTAGTTGATATTTTTCCTACGCGAATCACGATAGAATGAAAGGTTATTCTAAACTTAAGAAGTTTCATAAATTTTGAGCAACTTTCGTCATACTAAATGGGAAATAATGAAATAACCAATTTACTTTCAACTGAGCTTCAGATTTGGCGGTTCTCTCACTAATGGCAAGCTTGTCCTTAAGTTGCTGCATCTCACCCTGTGACGACAAATTACATTAGTTACAAGATTTTTTTCTAATTAGAGAAATAAAATTCAAATATTTCCTTGGTAGCAAGAGTGACAGGTGGCAGGAAAAGATGCGTACTTGCAAGCATCTTCTTTCCTCTAGCCATTGTTTGACGGGCATTACTTTGTCATTAGCATCTTTCCATTCATTCGCTACCACAGTTGCCACCCTATTTGCAGTTACTTTGGCACGCGCCAGCTCCCTATCAAGAGTTTTTCTTTCCTCCTACAAACCAAAAGACAGAAGACATTAAACTAAAAGACAAAATATGTTTTGGTTATTTAAAGTTTTGCATATTTTTCAGTAGTTGCTATTGTAAACGAGAGTTTTGCATGGATCATTACATTCATCTCCTGAACTTTCCGCTGGTAGTCACGTACAGCATTGGCAGCTGCCCCACCAGCAAGCACAGCCTCTTCAAGCTCACGCACCGTTTGGGTAAGCTTTTCAACTTCTGCAACCTTCTGCCTATGCATTTTATCCAGTATCTTATTTTCTTCCTGAAAAAGCAAGAAAATTTCAATGTCAGGGAAACAGTAATAATTAGGTAATTATTAACTTCAAAGTGAAACGGCCTAGGAAACCGCTCTACCTGGCAAATTTCAATCTGCTTCATTAACTCTTGGTTCTTGTTTTGAAGATCATCCACCATAGAAGCCTTCGCTAATGCAACCTGTACAGTTCTCTCAGCTTCAAGAAGAGCAGCCTCTTTTGATTTGGTGAGCCTGTCTAATGCTTTGTTATCGTCCTGCAGCTTCGCTATCTAGAAGCGAAAGGCAAGAGTTCATTTCAGACTTCAGTGATGCCTAAACAAGCCTTTTACTTGACTATTAGAGCAAATGTCCAAAAGGAACAAACCTCTAGCCGAGCAAGCTTGAGCTCAGCCTCCAATGGAGCCAGGATAGCTTCAATTGGAGGCATATCATCATCCTTTTGAGCAGCATGAACCCTGCGAAGAGTTGCTTCTGCTGCAAATTGAGCTGCCATGGAGGCCTTCTTTTCATCATTAATTTTCTTAATTTCAAGATTCTGCAAACAACAATATTTATGTGCAGGGTTACAACAGCACACATAAAGAGGGATGATGGAGAAGGGGAAAAGCTACGGTCAGTACCTTGCTTTCTAAAAGAGACTCTGTTAATTTGAGCTTCTCCTCTACCTTTGCCAACTCATCAGTGAGCTATAGAGAAACAAGAAAAGTTTAGTATTTCAAATAAATACATGTAGGTAGATTTTAAAGGAGAGAAACCAAAAAAAAAAAAAATGGTTTAAACAAAGAAAGGAAACTACACTACAAGTATGAAGACAAGTATTACTTCCTGCATGAAGTGATAATTCCCAAATTTATTCTGAATACATCATGACACATGAAGTTTTTCAAATTAAACCACATTCATGACATTAAATCCCTTCGGCCATATCCAGGACATCATTAGTCAAATTAATGCTGGTCAGGGAATGCTATGAAATAATGAAGAGGAAAGACCCTCCACAAAAGTTGGTTGTCATGGAAAGTTACCAATGACAAATCAATGCCAATCTACAAATAAACCAATGTATATAACTAGGAGTTCTGACAATCTAGCTGCCTAGCATTTGTCGGTATCTAAGGGCCAATAATTCTATAAAACAACCAGTTAATAGATAATATAGCATCAACTAATGCAGTAGAGTCCACAAGAACCCAATGCAGATTATGACTCACACTGAAAAGAATAAGTAAACCTTGATCAGAGAATATATCTATAACATTACTACGTCTACCTTTTTCTACTCTTGAGACCAGGAAAAAATGACCAGTGAGAAAAATGAGCAACATAAAAACCCTGTCGCCTTTAATGTCCACTATTACAGTGGCAAAAGCAAGAGCCTTACCCAGTTCCATTCCCAAATATACTTTTTTCACACACGAATCCTAGAAGAAGGGTTAAGACACTAAGCAAACACTCAGAACTCAAACTTTCTAGTAAGGAAGTGTTTTAAATTACAATATTAGTGTGTTGTCACGGATAAACAAAATACTAAATATGCCAGCAAACCTATAAGAATCAAGCTAATTGGCAATAACAAAAACAGATGCCTGCAAGTAAAGATCGTTAACTGAACTAATTAGCTATGCATTTGCAAATTCACCAAACTACTGCCACCTCAGTCGCCCTTGCCATATCACCACTCCATTATTTTTTGAAGGAAAACAAAAAGTAAACAACAGAAAAGAAAATGGAAAACCTCTTCAACAGCTTTCTCCCGAAGTCTCTCAGACAACTTCAGAGCCTTGATCTGTGACTGCGCTTCTCCCAATTCTCTATCTTTATCTGTGGACAACGAAATACTCAAGTTAAACGCTACTGTCTTAGCCGCAGATAAAGGGGCATAAAGCAGCATCGATTTCACATCAAATCAGGGGGGAATCTAGTGGATCCAGCTGAGGCGACTGACCTCTGACTTCGTTCTCGAGTCGATTGAGCTCCAGCTTCACCGGATCCGAACCATGGAGCAGGTTTATTAAATCATCGGCGTCGAGGCTTGGCCGTACAGACGCCCTCCGCCGCGACGACGAACCCTTGCCTCCTTCCTTGAACGAAGCAGACACAGTAAGTGGCGTCGCTGCCTGCGCATTGCCGCTGCTCTCTCCGGGAGCCATCTCCGCTGCCATGCCGACACTTCCCTCGCCGGAAACCTCCGCCATCACTGATCTATTAGCTTTTCGCAACGCGCATCAAAAAATCCCAAAACCCAAAGCTGTATTGTAATTATTATCAATGTGAGAACAAATATCTATGATATTTGTGTAAATATAGGTTGAGAGAGAAAGAGAGTGTGAGACAGTTCGGGAGAATGAGTTCAGAAAAACTGCAGTGGGTAGTATAATATGAGAGTGAAGATGATAAATTTGAGAGAGAGAGAGAGAGAGGTGATTTGAGTTCAAATTTGATGTGCCTTTTGCTGTTTTTGTTTTCTCTCTCTAGAAAATAAATGATACCTTTGTAATTATCTCTGTGTCGATGGGTGAGTTTGCTGAGTTGAACGATGCACACTCTTCGTGTGGTGTGATAATATAAAATGTGAAAATAGCTATTTTCATCCCGTTTTGAAATTATCCTAAGTTTTTCACACCACCCAATAAAAAGCTAAGTTTTTCACCTCAAAAAGTACGAAGACATATGCGATGAACTATGCGATAGATAGACAACCGGTATGAGCATGTGCGAGAAAATTATGAGTTAAAGTATGCGACTGTTCTGCGACGAGTATGCGGAAATTCGATGTACGATTCGGTCAATCGCGGTCCGTCGCCCATTAAATAATTATTCTTGTTAGGCGAATGAATCTGCGACTATTAGTCGAAAAGATTATTCTGCGAGATCCGAACGTCCAATATTATTTGCAGAGTTGGTGCATTATAAAGTTTTTTCGTAGAATATTTTTTATTTCTTTCATCTTTCAGTTATGCGATGGGGTATGCGAATTGCCGCATATTGCTCGCACTTCTACTCGAAAGTTATTTTTTATTTCTTTCAGTTATTTCAGTTATGCGAGGGGGTATGCGTATTGCCGCATATTTCTCGCATATCCCCTTCGCACTTCTACTCGAAAGTTTAATTTCTATTTCTTTTTTATTTCTTTCACCTTTCAGTTATTTTAGTTATGAGATGGGGTATGCGAATTTCCGCATATTGCTTGCATACCCCATTTCACACTTCTACTCGAAAGTTTATTTTTTATTTCTTTTTTATTTCTTTCATCTTTCAGTTATTTCAGTTGTGAGATGGGGTATGCGAATTGCCGCATATTGATCGCATACCCCACTTCGCACTTCTACTCGAAAGTTTATTTTTTATTTCTTTTTTATTTCTTTCACCTTTCAGTTATTTCAGTTATGAGATGGGGTATGCGAATTGTCGCAGATTGCTCGCATACCCCCTTGCGACGAGTATGCGTAGATTCGATGTACGATTCGGTTAATCGCGGTCCGTCACCCATTAAATAATTATTCTTGTTAGGCGAATGAATCTGCGACTATTAGTCGAAAACATTATTCTGCACATAAGAACGTCGCATATTATTCGCAGAGTTGGTGCATTATAAGTTTTTTTCGTAGAATATTTTTTCTTTCTTTCATCTTTCAGTTATGCGATGGGGTATGTGAATTGCCGCATATTGCTCGCCTACCCCCTTCGCACTTCTGCTCTAAAGTTTATTTTTTATTTCTTTCAGTTATTTCAGTTATGCAATAGGGTATGCGAATATTCGCATATTGCTCGCATATCCCTTTCGCACTTCTACTCTAAAGTGTATTTTTTATTTCTTTTATATTTCTTTCATATTTCAGTTATGCGAGGGGGTATGCGAATTGCCGCATATTGTTCGCATACGCTCTTCGCACTTCTACTCGAACGTTTATTTTTAATTTTCTTTTTATTTCTTTCAGTTTTTTGAGTTATGCGAGGAGGTATGCGAATAGCCGCATATTGCTCGCATACGCTCTTCGCACTTCTACTCGAAAGTTTATTTTTTATTTATTTTTTATTTCTTTCAGTTATTTCAGTTATGCGATGGGGGTATGCGAATTTCCGCATATTGCTCACATACCCCCTTCGCACTTCTACTCGAAAGTTTCTTTTTTATTTCTTTCAGTTATTTCAGTTATGCGAATTGCCGCATATTTCTCGCATACCCCCTTCGCACTTCTACTCGAAGGTTTATTTTTTATTTCTTTCATCTTTCATCGTTTAATTTAGTTTAATTTTTTTCTTTCAGGTATAAGAAATGTCACATACATACAACAAACAAAAATATAATAAAATGTAAAAAAAAAAAAAAAATGTATTACATGAATCATTCTGGGACGGTAATTGTTTCTGGTTCTGTACTAAACTGAAAAATTTTTCGAGCAATTTCGCGCCTCCTTTTCACAACCCACTGCTTGGTGGACTTGTCTGTAGGCTTCTTCCTCGTTAGCAATGTTTGTACCATATCCACAACGCATACACCACAAGAAATTCTATCATGTTGCAAAATAGTATCTTTGGTGTCCATGAATTTGAATTCGAACTTTTCGCTCACCCCCTCTACTTCCGTATACGTTGCAATCAGTGGAATTAGATTTTTAATTTTTGGAGTGATTTGACGCGAGATTCGAGAATATGCTCGTCCTCCTTTTCTAGATACGTATGCCGTAGGGGGTCAAACACACGTATCGTCCCCTTGCGTAAAAGGATCTGGAAAGTTACGTAGTGCTCCGACAAATTCGCTACTCTAGTAATCTGTTGCATTGAGTTGTGAGAAATTAACTAATTTTTTAGGAAAGATTGCAATATTAATTGATTCGGAATCAATGAAAACTTACATAATCAATCTGCCCCCAAGTATACCGATTCCCCCAATCGCTGACCCCCTCATTCGCATAGCGAATCAAATATTTGAGGTTGTCCGAGTCCGGGTCCATTAACCCCTTTTCCACATCCTTCTCCAATTCTCCAAGAATCCACTATATAAAATACAACAAAATAATAAATAATTTTGTTATTAATATAATTATTAATAAAAATGGAATGACAAGGAAAAGAGAAAGGATTAAAATAATCTCACAAAAAACGTAGTCGGCACGATGGTATAAGTGCCCAACATCTCGACCGGTGGCTCCACCTCCAAAAAATTTGGATTGCTTTGCATAATCCCCAAGTATGCATTCACGTGCTGTTTTATAAAATCAAACCAAACATCATCCATCAATTTTTATACGTTAAGATATTACAAGACAAACATATACATACCTCCTCCGACATCATTACAGCCAGATTAATCAACTCCTTAAACCAGTCCTGGCCCACCTCATATTTAACGCCGACATTCCTCCTATTAAATAATATAATAGAAAGTTAAATTTTTTTAAATATAAACAATAAAAGATCTTTTGGATGTACTTACATTTCTGGCTTCTTGGATTTGAGGAACTGGTCAAACGCGCGCTCACTATTGGCATACCGTCTGTTCTTGACGGGACAATATGGATTTACAATAGCACGTCCTGGTCGTCTTTGTCTATCAACTTTAATCCCCAAAGATGAGAACTGCGGAGAAGAAGTGGACTGCAGCATGACTGTCTTAGAGGTGGGAGTGACCACTGTCTCGGTGAGGGTATTGTTGGAGGTGGGATTGATGACTGTCTTGGAGGTGGAGGGGTTGGCGGCGATTGCCTCGGAGGTGGAGTTGGGGTCGACGGCTGTCTCGGTGAGGGAATTGTGGACGGCTGTCTCGGAGGTGGGAGTGGGGGCATGTTGTCTCTTTGGGGAGGGGGTGACGGTTGTCTCGGAGGGGGTGCGGGAACGCTGTTTCTCATGGGAGCGGGTGGGGGAACGTTGTCTCGTCGAGGAGTGGGTG